TCTTGTCTCCTTGCATGTCTTTTTGGTTTTTGTTGTGTTCTAGACATGGTTCTTATAAAAATATTTATTAAATGAAAGTGAGGCCTAAGATGAGTCTATCATCCTCCAGAGAGAACCTGTTTGCCATTTCCAGGAACTTTGAGACACTAGTCCTCCAGGATCACCTAAATCCAACCTGAGAAATGGAAACATTTCAAAGTTAAGTCCCTAATCTCTGAGAGAGCCTAATTCTGATTCATCCATACTCCATTCAGTGCCCACCCAAAGTTAAAGATATTCACTGGGATCCCCTCCTCATTTTCCTTGAAAGACAAAGTGCTATAGCCCTAAAACTTTTTAACCTCTGTCTCCAAAACTGACATACTTCCCTAGAGGAAAAAGTAGCCCCAGATACTGAGATCATCTCCCTGGGCTGCTATCCTTTACCGGGTAGTGGCATGGTGAGTTTTTTGCTATCTTGTCAGCAATCTGGTGCCTTTAAGATTTTTAAGAATATTCTGTCCAGATTTTCTAGCTGTTTTAAGTGGAATCATTGATTATTGGTACCTAGTCTGTTATCAGGTCAAATTTATTCTTTCTAAAAAATTTATTTTCTGTCCTTTAAAGGATTTCTGAATGGACAGGCAAATAGATCCATTTGTTTCACTTACCGTCTTGATTTTTGTGATTTATGATTATCTCTGTATCAACACTTAGGACTATACCTAGCACACAATGGGTACCAATGAACGCATGCTGCATGACTAACAAGCCTAAACAATGCCCGACACAAAAATGTTAAATCCTTTTCTCACTTTTTTAAAAGTCATTTTATATCCTAATTGCTTGCTTATTCATCATAATCTCCTCAGCATTAAGCATGTCCTTGCCACATGAAAGATGGCATTGGCAAACTAGGGAATCTCCAAATGAATGTCCATGTTCCCTTCCAGTTCCCTGGATTGGTAAATTTATGAGGATGCGAGGTGTTCAATAATTAAATTAGAGAGTTTTGTTTTGTTTTGTTTTTGCCTCTTCTCTCCCTTTGGTGACGATGTCTCAAGAAGAAAGGCTAGGGATCACCTGCAGGCATTCCCAGATTTGAGGTTATGGAAGTTGTAATTATAGTTTTTAGAGGGGAAAATCTCTCCCCCAAAACACTGAACTGATTAAAGCAACAACTAGAAAATATTCTTTAAGCAAGAAATTTCCTTTCCCAAGCTAGGGGGTTGATTAATGCCTCTAATGCTCAGTGGGTTTATACGTCTTTGGTATGCAGAGCTGAAGAGTGGGAGGGAAAAGCCTCCAACCCAGCTCTGCTTGCTCTAGGTTCACTAAATGAAACAGTACATAACTATTGCATTTATGCCAGTTCTACTTATCTGAGCATTTAATCACCAAGTGCCTCTTGATTCTGGTGAACTATTTTCTATATATGTGCTTATCTCCCCAACTAGATAGTAAGCTCCTAGGCAGAGGTGTCAAGACTTGCTTTGCTTTTGAACCACTTCCTAATAATTAACACTACAGTGACATCTATCCATCAATATGTCCTTCCAACTAATGTCCATCTACCGATCCAGTAGCCATCTGTATATCAATGATTCCTATCTTCCACTCTTTTTTATTAATTATTTCAATGACATACCCTGTTTGTCAAACACTGGTGATAGAATGATGAATAATATTTGAGGAGCTCTTAGTTGAAGGGTAGCAAGTTCTAAATTTTCTTGTGTGTGTACTTCCATTAGGAAAAAGAATACATTTGAGCATGTATTTTTAATACATGAGTTTTTATTTATATATTATATACAAGTATATAAGTTATAAATCAGTAATGTTTAATTCTTATTAAAGATGCAAAGCCCTCAATCTGACCAAAATAAAATTATCAATAATAATAATAATATATTTCTAGTTAGAGTGATGTGATTGAATATGCTTTCTTATTTTTAAAATGTTGGTTTTATTTTGTATCAGGGATTTAAGGGCTGATTTTAAGTTCAATTTTAATACTTTGTTTTAATGATCCTCATGACTAACCAAGGTATCTCCTTAAGATTCATCCTTCCAATTAAAGGACTGCAATGTTGGCTGTATTATGATACTCATTTTCAACTCTGCCTGCAATTTTGCAAGGACTTTTGATAAATTTGACCAGTAAAAGTCCATCTTCCCTGATCTCAATCAGCGGTTCTTGCAAACTAACCAGAAGATGTTCTATGTTTTTCTATTTGCTGCGGGTAGTGAGGTGGATTTAAAATCCACTGAACCTCTTTATTTTGAAGATTTTAAAACAGATTTAAAAATATTGGTTCCAAGCTTAAGCACACAGATAAGGAGTTTTTTAAAAGTTTTTCATTCATGACTTGTCTCCTTGTATGTCTTGTCTCCTTGCATGTCTTTTTGGTTTTTGTTGTGTTCTAGACATGGTTCTTATAAAAATATTT